CAAGCCATTCCGCACTATCTGTACGCCTCGTAGCCCGTGCTGCGTGTAGCTGCACGGCACGGGGTTCGAACAAGCCGGCATTTAAAAATGGCGCCGGCCGGCTTATGCAAATGAAGCCCGGGAAATTCAAATCCCGGGCTTCATTTGCAAGTGCGGTATGCCTACATTACCACCCTAGTTCGAACTAGCGGGGTAGTGTAGACATACCCTCTGAGTATTTCACAGTCAATGTCACCATCCTGGTCAGGCGGTCAGTAAGATGTTCCTGTTGCTATACTTTTAGTATTATTATGTACTCGGGGGATGCGCCTGCTGCTCACTAGACTCACCAACCACCCTCTCCCGGCAGCTTTCACAGACAGAGTAAGAGAGTATGATGACATCATTCTGTTGCCCAGCAGGAAAAACTTTTTTATATATAGAGAGAGATTATTCACCATGAGCTCTAGGGCAAGGTGATGGGGGCCTCCCAGCTCCACACCCCCTGGAGTGGGTGGGCTCTCAGCACTGCTAGGACTGTGGTACATCACCACCCCCAGCCCTCAGAATCATGCAGAGTGCCTGGTGTAGCACTCCAGCGGCAATTCAGAGGGGCCCAGGGCTCTGACCACTATTGTTGCCTCATGCTCCTTTGAATCTCTGGGCCCTGGGGCAACTCCCCCTTTCACCTTCCCATCAGCAGACCTGTCTTAAGATTGTTCTGTATTTGATTTTATGCTTTCTTTCTCCCACCATCACAACTTGCTCTGTCATTCCTATGTGTTTTGTACTGTGAAATGATCATGTTCCATTGGTTATCATAATTCCACCAAGTATCTGTAATGCCTATTATATCAATATTCTCATGTAATACCAGACACTGAGGTTCACCTATCCAAGTATTTTGACTTCATTCATTTGTGTACAAGCAGTTATAAATGTTGTTGTCTGCCTTCATGTGATGTACTTGAATGGGATTCCTTTTTGTTTGGCTATTTGTCTTTAGTCCCAGCCTGTACTTTATCAACTTCTATCCTCTCATCTTATGTTGAGTATCCCCTACATTAAATCCTCCTCACGAGATGTCTCTGTCTGAACCTTGTGCTCCTCTCCTCTGCTCCTGTTGGCTTTTCCTGAGAATCTTAGTTAAAAACTCCTCGATTACCTTTTCAATTTCACCTGTCAAATATCCATTTCTGTTTAAATACCATTTAAGTCCTAGGTTTACCTGAGACTTGTGTGGTGATGGCCCATTGTAAAAGGAAGGATTGATTTTTACCCAGTAAGGCTCCATATTAGCAAAACAGTTAAATATATGCTTAAAGTTAAGCAGATAAGGAATCCAATCCCTATTGCTTTGAGCATATAAGAACATGACAAATTCTAAACACATGAATAAAACCATTAAAACCAAGGACATGAAGGTATATGCTTAAATTTAAGCGTGCATTTAAGCAATACAGTAAAATTCCAATAGTCGGCATCCAATAGTCCGGAACTCCTGATAGTCTGGCATCAAAATGGCAAGAGCCTAGTGAGTGAGCTTCGGCAAAAAATGAATCACAAGGTAACAGCGGCAGCAGCTGAACTGAGCAAAAAGGGTAAAAAAGGCTTAAAAAAACTAAAACGTTACAGTATACTGTATACAGTATGTACAATAAAAAGGGCTAAGAACACTTTATATACAGTATATAATGTATACAGTATATATATAACCAGCTTATAGTACCTCCTGATAGTCCAGCATATTTGATAATCTGGCACCACCTAAATCCCATAGGTTCCGGATTATCGGAAGTCTACTGTACTTTGCTGAATCAGGGCCTGTGTTGGTTTGTTGCATCAGCAATCTAACCAGGAACCATCAATAATTCTGTGTGATGTGTGTAACTAACCAGCACTGCACAAATTTTGAACTGCGCATTTCACAATCTAAGGGACAATTCACGGTCAGCTTTCTGTGAATACTGAGCTGAAAATTCCTATTTGTTTTGCGAGTCATTAGTGGGGCTTGTAGATCCGTGGAAAACAGTCAAATCAAATTTACATTTAAATTTGGATAAATGTTTGCTAAAACCCTTCCCCACTCTTGCCTCATTTCTAGGAAATTCTCCTCCATAAGAGTAACAATACAGCCCAACAATGCATGTTTATGAGGTTATTCTTGCTTTTCTCAGATGGACAGTTGTCTTGTATGGCCTTCAGCCTCATACCTTATGAGCAACATGTGAAGTGTGCTATAAATAGTCCCCTAGAACTGCATTTCACATTTACTATTCCATCTGGATGTATTTTTCATTATGCAATTACTTATAAAATATGTATGGTCCAATAGGAGCATTCTCATGCTTATATAAGCACGTCTACATATTCATAGGGTGTCAGCTCTCCTGCGCTTTCCCTCATACTTCTCACACCCTACAGGCCTAATTCTGTCCTTGGATATGTGATTATAATGCCCATTAACTTCAGTGGGCTCCTTCATACATTCATCTGAGAGCAGAATTTTGTCCTTTAAGATATAGAAGAGATGTTTGCTGCTTAGGTACTAGCCCTGCAAAGGCTTATGCATGTGCATATCTTTGTTTGAGTAGATGTATTAACTCCAGTGGGATGATTTACAGGCCCATATCCTCAAAGTCACTTAGGCTGCTCACTTCCATTGATTCCAATGGGCCACGGTGTTTAAAGTGAAGCAGATATATAAATCTTTGAAGGATTGGAGTCTTAAATGGTAAGATTTATAGGGTAAGGCCCATCTTTGTGTTATGGCTGTAGAGGCCTTAGAACAACAGGGCCAAATCGCACATAAGGGCCTCTGTCACTGCCCTGAATACAAATACAGAAGAACCTCAGAGATATGAACAGCTCAGGAATGGAGATTGCTCATAACTCTGAAATGGTTGTAACATTGAACATTATGGTTCTTTCACATGTTTACACCTGAACCTTCACTTAATACAGCCTCGAAACTTTACTATGCAGAAGGAAAATGCTGCTTTCGAACATCTTAATCTATATGACACACAACACAAAAACAGTTTCCTTACCTTTTGAAAGTTTTTTTTTAAAAACTGTCCTTTTGGGGTGTGGTGGTGGTTTTAATAATGTATGTTTGACATAGTAATGTCTCCCTTCCCTTCCCTTTCCTTCCCTTCCCTTCCCTTCCCTTCCCTTCCCTTTCTCCCTGATTGTGTACTTCTAGTTCCAAATGTGGTGTGTGGTCAATGGGTTGGTTCATTACTCTGCAGTTCAGTTCTGCTGTAGTAAATAATAATTACATTGCTGCTACTACAGGAAGTAAAATTCAGAATTCAGGTTCAGTTCTGATGAACATCCCAAACATTCTCCCATCTTCTAAATGAGACTGGGTATTTCACAGGAGCAGATTTTCTGGCACTTAAAATCAGAACAGCAGTATCAGAAGAGCAGTATTTCTTAGGCAATTGATAGTATAATGCCTATGATAGATTGAATTTATGGTTTTGGTCTCCACCTGGAAATTAAAAGTGAAAGACCATCTCTCACATTATGGAAGCTTACACATTCAGTTCTAGATATTGCCTAAAGAGTCAGGTGTTCTTACTTTTTTTCCTCCCCCTGAACTAGTTGCCCAAAGCATCTCTAACTATAATGACAATGGTCATGTCAGTTCATATAAGCAAGTATAAGGCGGACCCTAGGGAAGGACCAATGGTAATTGCCTATTAATTATTTATTATTATTATTATTCCACCCATCTGATTTTCTTTCTAGATACAGTTGCAGAAAAGGGAACTGCTGATACCTGCATGTGTCAGGAATGTGACTGGTTTGTTCTTGTTTTGCTGTAGGACATGCCGTACTATCGCTCCCAATTTAAGAAATGTGCTGTGGTTGGGAATGGAGGGATTCTCAAGGACAGCAGATGTGGACGGGAGATTGACAGTGCAGATTTCGTATTTCGGTAATCGTCCTATCATACCGTTCTTTTAGCATTGTATAGTCCCAAATAAAAGAGCGCACATATTCGAAATATAGAATTTTCAAGATTGGGTCTCTCGGTCCAGCTAAAGAACTTCCCTGTCTCTGACAAAGGCCTGAGGGTTTTGAAGAAAACACCACCTAATAGGCAATTATGAAATGACATGTATGTGGGGGTAATTTCTTCCTAACTCCACACAGTTAATTGCTGATTTATGTCCTGAGGGCTGATATCCCTACACATTTTCATCCTCCTTACAATAACTCGGGGGTGGGGAGAGCTATATTTATTATTTATATCAGTGTATTCAGTATTGTAGCTGTGTGGACCTCAGGATGACAAAGTGGGTGAGAGGATATCTTTTATTGGACTCACTTCTGCTACTGGAAAAGCCAGAAACAAAAAGCTCTTCTGACCGTTGTGTCTGTCTCCTTCCCCCAGCAGAAGTTCGTTATTATGAAAGATATGATCTCACCCTCTTAGTCTCTTTCCAATCATAGAAGGCTAATGGTATTTTGGGATGCATTTTTGGGAGCACTGCTTACAGAAGTGATTTTCCCCTCTGTTTGGCCCTGGTGAGGTGACAACTGGAGTATTGTACCAGATTGCATGCATCTGACAAAGTGGGTCTTTGCCCACGAAAGCTTATGCTTCTACACTTCAGTTAGTCTATAAGGTGCCACAGGACTCCTCGCTGCTTCAACTGGAGTATTGTGTCCGGTTTTGGGCCTCCCACTAGAGAAAGGATGAGGACAAATAAGAGCGAGTCTAGCAGAGGGCAACAAAATGATTGACAGATTGGTGCACGTGACTTAGAAGGAAAGGCTGAGGGAAATCAGCGTATTTAGTCGGCAGCAGAGAAAAGTGAAGGGGGGAGGGGGTTGATAGCAGCCTTCAGTTACCTGAAGGAGGGTTCCAAAGAGGATGGCGAGAGGTTGTTCTCAGTGGTAACAAATGACACAATGAGGCGCAATGGTCTCAAGTTACAGTGGGGAAGGTCTAGGTTGGATACGAGGAATAAACTATTTCACTAGGAGGGTGATGAAGCACTGGGATGGGTTACCTAGGGAGGTGGGGGAATCTCCATCCTTAGAGGTTTTTAAGTTCCAGCTTGACAAAGCCCTGGTTTAGTTGGGATTGGCCCTACTTTAAGCAGGGGGTTGGACTGGATGACCTCCTGAGATCTCTTCTAACCCTAATCTGTGATTCTATGCATCCTATTAACCTCTTTGTCTGGCTTATATTTTGTGCCAGTGAGTTCCACAGATTAATTATTGTGTTGCATAAAATATTCTTTTTTACATTTTTACCTTTATTGGACTGGATTGTGATCTTAGTTACAACAAAGTCAATGAGTTACACTGATTTACGATGAAAATGAGATCATATTCTGGCTGATTGCCTTTTAATTTCGTTCGGTGTCAAAGCATAAATAGAAATGCCCTATGAGTTTTCTTTTCACTATTTGTTATTTTAGATCCCTCTGTTATGTCACCTTTTGTAGCCTCCCCAAACTAACCACTTTTTAATCCATTCCCCTATGCCGCTAATAATTTTCTTTGGTTTTTTGGGCTAGTTTCTATTTTTGCTATATTCTTCTGGGCACAGGGGGTAACCAAAACAGATTTCATACAGAGTCCCACCTGCTTGTATTGATCAAGACTGTTCCTGTCACTTTTATTGAAATAAGCGGCTGATCTTGTTATGAATTCAGCTTGCCAACCATGATCAGGTGAATGGTAGTATGCACAGTAGAAAGCATAAAATTAGTGTTTGCATAACACCACTTTTGGTTGTAATAATCTTTTTTTTATTATTGTGATTCTTTTTTTTACTCTTATTTTCTGTGATCTCATTCAGAATGTTGACATTTCTGTTGCACGGTGACTTTCCATTGCCAGTGTTTGGCCTGCACCTGTCCAGAGAGATGGAAGCGGATTAAGATAAAAAGTGGAAGTTGGGTTTATTTTGATACCAATGATTAGATCCCAGAGGGGCTGATCAAATCAAAAGAAGGACCATGCCAAAAAGTGACTAAATTTCAGTGGAAGCAATTGTAGGATTTTCATGCCAAGAAAGTGGCAGAAAGAAAGATAGGCCTTGGCTAAGAAATGCACTTCTGCACATGCTCAAGTCTAAAAGTCTGTTCAAAACAGGATTTAACATGTTTAAGTCCTGCTGACTTTGACGTTGAAGTTAAGCATGTGCCGAAGTTCAGTCCTGAATAGGCATGTTTTCCTGAATTGATGCCATACTGCTGCACTAGGGGATCGTTATCATCTCACTTTGCCATAAAAACTGCTCAAAAATACATTGAAGGACAGCCAAAGAACTCTGCAGAAGTCAGTGGTAATGATGTTAAAGCCTCTTTTAACACTGTCTGGGAGGCTTATGTTTAGAAATCGTTCCCCGTCTATAAAACAAATATAGACCAGAATGGATTTTATTTCAGACTATATATGTAATTTCCATTTACCACCAGTTACTGTTGCCTAGCTCCACCTACTGACCAAATAGGCAAACTACACTGAAACACATTAAACAAGTTTTGACAAGTATTAGAGGTAGTCCTGGTAGTCTGTCGCTGATAAAATAATGAGGAGTTCTGTGGCATCTTAAAATGAACAGATTTATTCAGGCATAAGCTTTCATGGGCAAAGACCTCTTTGTCAGATTCATCTGCATTCACTGTATCTGTGTCTTTGCCCACAAAAGCTGATGCCCAAATAAATTGCTTAGTCTTTAAGGTGCCACAGGACTACTCATTGTTTCATCAGACCCATTTGGAGTAGATCCTTGGCAGGGAATGTTTTTATGATTCTTGCACAAAAAATATTGTTGGTTTAAGCTGACTCCATTATTTGTATAAGATGTTTTATAATTCAGCACAGAATTTACCCTGATATGTCTCTGCACTGATACTTGCTACTAGTTGGGTAATTAAGAAAATTAAAAATTGAGGCTGAATATTTGGGGAATCTTCCTAAAGTGAGGTTTCAGAGGCTATAGAGTAAGATCCTAAGGGAACTAGTAGAACTCAGCTTACTGGAGAAATTTAAAACTAGGTTGGACAAACTAGAAGAAGAAATATCTCCTAGCAATCCTCCCATGGCTGAGGGATAGACAATGATGTTAGACTCTGAAATGATATTGACACTACAGGTTGAACCTCTCTGGGCTGGAAACATCTGTCATCCGGAATGATTTCAGTTAGCTGGATGTCCGCTTTTCATGGGCATGGCCAAGTTTCCCACAGTCCCATAAAGTTTGTTTACAGCAACTAGTCCTAGTTCTGTGCTGTTGTTTAGCTCCAACTTACCCCTAAATGTCCTCTAACAGCCCACTAAGCAGTGGAAGTGTTGGTAATGCTGCTAGACAATATTGACCTCCCATGGTCCAGAACATTTTCTGGTTTGGAACCAGTCAGGTCCTGATGGTGCTGAACTATAGAGGTTCAACCTGTAGCATGAATGTATGAATTATTATCTTAAAATACATTCCCTCCAAAGTGTCAATACCGTCATCTTGTTAAACAGCCTCAGATCTTACTGGAACCACATAAGACTTCTAATTTCAGAATCCTAAACATTAAAAGCTTGTGCCCTGATAGGAAAGACTTGGAAGAGCCAAGCTCAGATCCCTGCTCCACACTGTCTTCCTGTGTGATCTTGAGCAAGACACTTAGGGTCATCTTTGTAAAGGTATTGAGGTACTTTTGAAAAACTCACTAGGGCTCTATCTGCCTCTTTCAGTACCTCAATACTGTAAAAAAACAACAACCCTGTCTTTGAGGTATGTCTATACTACAATGTAATCCCAGGGTTAATGGGACTCAAGTCAACTGACCCTGGGTTAGAAAACCCAGGACTTGAGTGTCTATCCTGATCGTTTATTGTGATTAAGAATTTTTTAACACAGGCCCTAAACCTGGGACTCTGACGTCTATACCATAGCAAGCCAAACTGAGTCAAACCAGCCAAATCCCAGACTCCCTAGGCCCCCTAGCCCTTTGACCATGTTGCACCAAGAAAATGATCCATGCAGCACATTGCAAGAAGTTTGAACAACCTGCCAAGCAGTCATTTGGGTCAGTGGGCTTCCTGCTACTCAAGCCAGCAACATGGGTGAGACACTTTGTGAAGAACTTCTCTTGCTTGCACTTTTGCTCTTTGTCAGGAAACAGGCAACACTTCTGTGAGATGCTGGTGCCCATTTTGGCAGCTTCTTGAGACCCATAAAGGGAGCAGGAAGAGGAAGAGCAAGCAGGCATGGCAGACTTGAAGTGACTGATGGCTTCTCAATATACTCTGTGTAGCCTCTGATGCTCCCTGAGCAGACCAGAGCTTCTGAAGTAGAATCCACAACCACAGATTGGTGGGATCACATTTTATATAGACCTGGGATGACCAGTCACGGGCTCTGAACTTTTGCACACTTTTGGAGCTTTGCAAGTGACTTTCCCAGCATAAAGACACGTGGTAGGCCAGAAGTGGATTGATATAGCCATCTGGAAGCTGGCTACCCCAGACTACTACAGGTCTGTTGCAATCCAGTTTGGAGTGGAAAAGTGAGTAACGTGGTCATGGAAGTTTTGGAGACAATCGGGCATGTGGTTTATCCCAAAGTGGCAGGCATTACATTGCTGGTTTTGAGAGAATGGGGTTTCCAGACTGGAGTAGGGCCATTGATGGGGCTTATGTGCTCATAGATTGCTTTCCTTGAGGAGCACACAAACCAGAAAGGGTACTACTTTCCTGTTATGCAGCCCCTTGCGCACACCCAAAGGTGATTTTTGAATGTCAGTGTGGGTTGTACTGGAAAAGCTCAAGATGCCAGTGATCAGGAGTTACATTCATGGACAGGCTGGGATACTGTTCCTACCAAATGACATGATCATCAGTGGAGTAACTGTCCCCATTGTTGTTCCGGGAGATCCTGGGTACCTCCTTTTGCCTTGGCGTATGAAACTGCACGTTGATTTCAAAGTGCCTGGCAAAAGACAGTGGAATGACACACTCAGCAGATGTAGAATGGCTGCTGACTGTGCTTTTGGCAGATTGATATCCCATTTGGGATGTCTACAGACCTGTTTGGATGCCAGCATCATCAATGCTGTCTGCAGTACTGTGGCTTGCTGTGCTCTTCACGGTCCATGTGATGCCAGAGGTGAGCCATTTCCCCCTGAGTGGCAGCAAAGGGCTGATGCATTGGTGCACACGGACAGAAAGTGCTGCAGCGGGGTCAACAGCAGTCAGGGACGCTTTGTGCTCCCACACTACTACTGAGGGCGTTATGGCAGCTGCTTGGTGATGAGAAGACAATGAATGGGTTAATGCTGGACTTGCATGGCCCAATGGAAGATGAATGTGCTTGTGGGGCACTTGCGAGGGGGTATGGATTCGCTGATTGTGACTGAATGGACACATGCAGAACTCCACAGCCTTCCTCCTCCCTCCTGCAAGTGGAGAAAATGTCAAACCACACTCATACTGGGAAGAAATGGTTTTGTTACCTATGGATTGCATGGATTACCTCCAAGTGAAATTGACTGATTTGTGAATGGAACACTTTTCCCTAAACCCACACAAACAGCATTCCCTGTTTTCAGGCATCTCAGTGGACCACAGCATGGTTACAGAGACACAAACTTCACAGGCATGGACATTTAAGGTTATTATTTTAAGAGACAAAAAATGTCCATAGCAAAAATCTGTGCCTTTCCAGTGAAGATGCACTTGGAATGGGTTCTTTTCTGCTTCCATGTCCCACTTGCCTTCTGAACTCCATAGTGTTGTTGGTAGTGGAGCAGCCACACCTCTGGTACACAATCCACCATTAGCTGATACACGCTGCTTGCTGGGGCTTCTCATAACTTTCCCAGTGGCTCATAGACTGGAAATCTCTCCCATTACTGTATTAATAAACATTAAAATGAAGCCAGAAATTTACCGAGCTTAGCGATGACTTCTGTCCTGTCTATGTCTGCTGCAGGCTCTTCCTAGGGCAGGGTGGAGCATCTCACAGTTCCTATGAGCAGAGATGCAGAATGTGCTACTAATGTTCCTGCTGCAAAGTTTGCTGTGGAACCAGTTTCAGCAAGAGTGACTTCATTGTTTCTATTTGGTCTCTGCTGCTGGCTCCCAGCAGTCCTCCTGGTGGATTCTGGGGCCAGCAGGGCACCTACCTTCCCATGTATCATGCCTGACTGGCATGATTTTGGTGAGTTTCCCAGGGGCCGTTTTGGTCCCTGCTTTTAGAACATAAGAACATAAGAACGGCCGTACTGGGTCAGAGCAAAGGTCCATCTAGCCCAGTATCCTGTCTACCGACAGTGGCCAACACCAGGTACCCCAGAGAGGGTGGACCGAAGACAATGATCAAGCGATTTGTCTCCTGCCATCCCTCTCCAGCCTCTGACAAACAGAGGCCAAGGACACCATTTTATCCCCTGGCTAATAGCCTTTTATGGACCTAACCTCCATGAATTTATCCAGCTTCTCTTTAAACTCTATTATAGTCCTAGCCTTCACCGCCTCCTCTGGCAAGGAGTTCCACAGGTTGACAACACGCTGTGTGAAGAAGAACTTCCTTTTATTAGTTTTAAACCTGCTCCCCATTAATTTCATTTGGTGTCCTCTAGTTCTTCTATTATGGGAACGAATAAATAACTTTTCTTTATCAGCCCTCTCCACACTACTCATGATTTTATAGACCTCGCTCTTGTGCTGCTTAACCCTGCACTGATCATATTTGGAAAGCTGCAGCCTCTTTGCTGCTTGCTGCTGTGTGTGGTTATTCCAGGTCCTCTTACTGACGTCCACAGTTCTGCTGGCCATGCACCGGAGAGGTCCCAAAACCAGTCTGTGCTCCCATGACTACAAAGCACTGGGCTTTGCCAAAGGCTTGGTCGGGTCTGTCTCCATTGCATCGGAGGCTCTCTGAGGGTGTGATGGCAGCTGCTTGGTGATGAGAAGACAATGTTGAGAATGGGTTAATGCTGGTTTACTGAACTGCTGATGTGCACTAAGGGTGGCTACTTCTGGCTTCTATAGAGTAGATTGAGGATTCTTGGATAGCCAGGACAAAGGAAGTTGGTCTGTGAGATTGTGGGATACTTTTTGGTGGACTTCCAGGGGCTGCATCTACACTGCAAGGCAGTAGGGCTTGAACCCTGGTCAAGGCCCTAGTACCCTTGGTCTGAGCCCTGGATTAGCATGATTTGTGTGTGGATGGATGGGGGAGTTCTTTTTGAGCCTGAATTTGAGCCTGGGCTAACATTGCCTGTGGACATACCCTTAATACCTCCATTTCCCATCTGTCTATGGGGATAACAGCACTGCCTTGCCTCAGGAGGTGCTGTGAGCATACATACAAATAAGATTTGGAGTTGCTCCTATGCTATGGTAACAGAAGGCATTAAGTGTGTAAATTCCAGTGTTACCTAAATTTACATTTTAGCTTTGGGATAAAATGTTTTAAGTATCCACAATACAGAGGCTGATACTTGAGTAATCCTGCAGGCTTAGAGATTAGTTTTTCTTGCAGGCTCCTCCAAATATTTCAGGCCATAAATATAATCGAATTCAAAGCCAAGGAATTGAGAAGAGGAAAACGCTATTAACAAGCAATGGACGTTGCTACCGGGCGTGCACAGATTTTGCATACACATGAGCGAGGAGGCGTGAATATTGTTTTTACAAACACTGACATTAACAATTTATGACCTGCAGCATGCAGCTGAAGCATCAGTTTATTTTAGAATCATAGTAATATATGGCTGGACAGGACCGCATCTCCCCACCACACTAAGGGTATGTCTAGACTGCATCCCTCAGTCGGCGGAGGGATGCAGATTAGGTAGGTCGATATTGCAAATGAGGCAGGGATTTAAATATCCGGTGCCTAATTTGCATAAAAATGGCCACCGCGTTTTGCTGACTCAGCACATTGTCAGCAAAAAGCAGCAGTCTAGAGGGGGATCTGTCGAGAAAGAAAGCCTTTTCTGACAGATCCCTTATGCCTCCTGCAAAGAGGTGTACAGGAAAAGGCTTTCTTTCTTGACAGATCCCTCTCTAGACTGCTGCTTTTTGCCGACAAAGTGCTGAGTCAGCAAAACGCGGTGGCCATTTTATGCAAATTAGGCACAGGATATTTAAATACCTGCCTCATTTGCAATGTTGACCTGCCTAATCTGCATCCCCCTGCAGACAGAAGGATGCAGTCTAGATATACCCTAAGGCAGGACCAATATGCCACACTCCATCAGATTATGTGTACCATAATGCTTAATTCACAGTCTACTTCTAATTTTTCTGTTTATAACAAATGTTTAAACACAGTTCGATATTCTCATCCTGAACAGCTGCAAGGCATTCTTGAACGTGCTTTTTGCTTCTTTCCTTTAGATGCAATTTACCACCTATATCTGAAAAATATACAGTAGATGTTGGTGTAAAGACAGACGTCGTGACAGTCAATCCCAGCATTATTACTGAAAGGTCAATTCATTTATTTTTTTTAACCCGTTTTAGAATTTCCTTCTGTGTCTTTGCAAACCGGACAAACATCAGTGTCACACAAAATCTGTCTGCAGTGAGTCAAGACCTAAAGGATCGATCATATAATAGGCAACATTCTGGCCAAAGCATATAAGCACATGCTTACGTCCCATTGAAATTAGCAGCAAGTCTTTAAAGTTAAGAAGGGCTTTGTGTGTTGCCATTGAATCAAAGGGACCACTCACATGCATAGTGTTGATCGCATGCTTACATGCTTGCAGGACTGGGGTCTTACGGGTGCATCCTGCTTGCCTCACTCAAGGAATCCATTCAGTAAGAGTTATGTGAATGGGATTTGGCCCCAACAGATACAGGCTTCTTTTAACTGTACATTTTAGATATTTAATTAAAATTTCTGCTCTGAGGTGATATTAATGCTTGTATAATCCCCGGTACTGATGTATGTTAATGCATATTGAATGCAATGATAAAAAAAAATCAAAATGTAAAGTTTTCCACATAAGTTTTCATGGAAAAAATAAGTGATGATATTCTTGTGGACATTTTTACTTATTTTTTGTCCTCTAGTCAAAGGATTTACTGGTTGGGAAAAATTTATATTTTCATTATTTTTTCTCTCTCCCCTCCCCTTTTTCTTACCAAAACTTTACTGACAAATTTCCTACCTGCTACAGAGCTAAATGCATTTTCTGTTTGTTACTGAAACATCATTTCAAAAGAAATGTTTCAAGCAGCCCTGCTGATTAAGATTAGGGGTGTTTCATTGTGTCAAGGAATTTTTATTGAAAGCTGTTTGTTTAAGTCACATTGAACCTTACAACCTGATCCTCACTTGCATCCTTTTTTCTTTAGATTCCATAAGCTGGAGAAATGGAGGAAGCCTTTCTACGAGGTGCTGCAGGTTTATGAAAATGCATCCGTGTTGCTGCCTGCTTTCTACAACACCCGCAACACGGATGTCTCTATCCGGGTCAAATACGTGCTGGATGATTTTGAATCTCAGCAAGCTGTCTACTATTTCCACCCTCAGTATCTCATCAATGTTTCACGCTACTGGCTCAGTCAGGGGGTGCGTGCCAAGCGGATTAGCACGGGATTGATTCTCGTGACTGCTGCTCTGGAGCTCTGTGAAGAGGTCCACCTTTTTGGCTTTTGGGCTTTTCCCATGAACCCCTCAGGGATTTTTATAACTCACCATTACTATGACAATGTCAAACCTCGCCCTGGCTTCCATGCAATGCCCTCCGAAATCTTCAACTTCCTCCACATGCACAGCAAGGGGATCCTGCGGGTTCATACAGGGACTTGCAGTTGCTGTTGATGGTGATGATTTGTCCTCTGATGTAAAAGCGTGACAGGAACTCAGTGTCTATGTTTAGTGTAGAAGAGTTTTATTACATCCTGAAATTATGCAATAATTGTTTGAATCAATTTCTCAAGGCATTGTGTCCCATAGAAGCTGGGATTCCAGCATCCTTCCTGCTAGCGGGGTTAGGGTTACGTGATCTGGGTGAAGTGAAATTTGTCCATCATAGGAAATACACTGCCCTGGAAATCAAACCAAGAAGCACATTTTCAATAGATTTTAGAGATATACAGAGCACATTAGTGTAGCTATCATTTCACTTTCAGGAAAAGCACCAAACTGAACCCACTGGGTAAGGTGAATTTTAACATATACTGCAGGGCAGTAGATAGGTGTTTTGAATCATAAACAACTGGACATTGTTGATTTTATTGAACCTGCTGTTCTCTTGCATTAGGGATTTAAAACATATTCTTTAAACATTATTGCAGTTGTAAGGGAAGAGGTATAAGCGATGATCTTTATTGTGTAATGGCACATCACATCCACGAAGTAGGTCGATGTAGTATCTCATGGTCAGGTTAGAACATCCGTGAGAATCCAGGTACGATAGAACAGGTGATTAAACTGCAATTCCCAGTAAAATGACTGCATCAGTCTTGTCAGATCTCTTCTTTGGTTTTCCTTGTGTCTTACACTTCTTCCCTTCCCCAAACAGGTTTTCTTTCTCATAGCCTGACTCACTTTCCCTTTAGCAAAAAAAAGCTAATGGTTTGTGTTTGCTTCTGCAGTCACCAGCTATGGACTTCTGACTCTACTTAACACAAGGTATGTCGACTCCAGCTACATAATTAACATAGCTGGTGTTGCGTATCTTGATTTGACTTTCCCCTTTAATTTAGACCTGGCCAAAGTTATGATGGTAAAAGCCCTAGAGTAGCTGCAGTTTTGTAAAAGATGCCTTATACTAGTGTAGCTTATTTCAGTTCTTACACAGAAATCAACTATGCCAGTATAAGCACTTTCATACCGTTACAGGTATGTCACACTAGGAACTTTTTCTACTTCAACTTGGCATAACTGAAGTGGCAAAAATTTGAGGTATAGACAAGCCCTTAATCTGAAATTATGTTTAGCCACCTCTCAGATAGTATCAGTAATTTGGAAAACATGTATAATCAAATCTGGCTCAGTGTTTTGAAAGTCTCTAAATAACATGGAGGGTGGGCTCTGAACTAGCCACACCTCATCTAGCAACATGGGAAATGCCATTTTGGCAGACTAGAAAGTACTTACCCATTGAAAAAACAAAGGTGTGATTAAAGAGAGATTAAAAGACATAGTAGAGCAAGAACCCTTATGTTTATTGTTACTGGATCTGCTGAGATCGAACTCTTGATCTGTTGATGTCAGTTTGATGCCAAGTTAGTCCAGACTTCATGAAATTTGTTTAATCTGGTGGACAGATTGATTTAGTTCCAGTACTTATTTTAATGGCTTATAGTAGAGAGCTAATACCACACATCCCAGAGTTTTTAATGGCTTCAGGGTATTCTGATTCTTCATCCCTATTAGAGATTGGCTAAGGAGGCGAAAGTCGGATCCAGACAAGGATTATTTAGCCATCCTTTTCCAAAATCAAATCTGACAAGATCTCTTCCTTCTCTGCACTATTTCAACACGATTTCCTTCCCTTCTTCCTTTTCCTAACCCTGAGATCTTTCTCCTGCTGTTTGGCTTTAATCCATAGTCCTCTCTCTCCATGGCTATTATCATATTTTTATCAGTTTAGTACCTAATCCTTCTTACCTCCATTCATCCATGGCTAAAGGCCCACTGGAAGGCAAACACAAACTCCTATTGTTTCTAATAGTAGCAGCCCTAATTCTGTCTCTCCATTGACAACTACACTCTCCTTCCTATCTTCCCAAGCAACGATCTTAGTGTAGAGGGATCTTCTTATTCCCTCTATAGCCAAGCTCTCACCAAATTGTCTAAATTCAGCTTCTTGATTATCAACAGTATTTGCCCCTTCTTTACCCCACCATTACTAATGTACTTGCTGGTTCTCTTTCATCTATTTTACTGTAACTTCTCACCTCTTCTTTCCAGCCTTCTTTCTGTCTCCCAGTTCTGTCATATTGGTCTTTTTGTAAGATCCTCCATTGGTTCTCTGTCTTTTGCTACATGAAATTCAGTCCACTAGACAGCCTGCTATAATCTTGCCCCACCTTTATCTTACATCTCGTCTTTCTCCCTGTCCCGCTCCTCTGCCCATGCACTTCCCAAACTTTTGACACGGCTTCCTATATCTTGATAGTTCTCTCACCTTCGTGCCTCATTTACCTGACCTGAGACACTTTTGTTGTCCTCTCTCTCTTCCTCCAACATCACCTCTTCAAACAACACACTTTCTCATCTTCCTCACCTGAATTATTGTCCAATGTCTTTGTCTTATTTAGTTTTGAAACCTTCAGTGAGGAAACATGCCTTAACTGGCATGCAAAGAGCAGTGCACATTTACGGGACTACAGTAGGATCAGATATAAAGTTTTGGGTAGGGTTTGAGTTCAAATCAGGGTCTAGGGTGTTACAATATAAAGATCCCAGAAGCATTTCTTGCAAGATATTAGTTCACTCTCTTGAAATTTCGTTTCAGAGTCCTCCCAGTCCTTATGTCTATCATAATTATTTCCATTATAAACCAAACATAAAACAAATCTAAAAGGAAGAGAAGTACTGTGGTCTTCATTAACAACTCTGTGTAACAGCAGTGACCAGAATGCTGTTGAAGAGTGATAGAAATGTAGCCGTGTTAGTCTGGGGTAGCTGAAGCAAAATGCAGGACAATGTAGCACTTTAAAGACTAACAAGATGGTTTATTAGATGATGAGCTTTCGTGGGCCAGACCCACTTCCTCAGATCAAAAGGAAGTGATCTGAGGAAGTGGCTCTGGCCCACGAAAGCTCATCATCTAATAAACCATCTTGTTAGTCTTTAAAGTGCTACATTGTCCTGCATTTTGCTTCAGCTGTTGAAGAGGTCACCATACCTCCCTTTGTTTAGATCAGGAAATACTGTGATAGTTAAAAGTCTGTAGCCTGTTGACTATGTAATACCCATCCCTAAATTTGATTATAGCATTTCTAGGCTCATGGGAAAGATCACAGGGGAAAATATCAAGTGACACAGAAGATATGCCAGTGCTTCAGAGTCTTGTATTTTTGTTGTCATGCTGTAGGCACAAAAGGTATATTACATTTGAGCAAGCATTAATTTGTATTTAACAAGCATAAAATACTAAGCACAGAATAGATGAGTGGATGAATGCCTGAGTACATGGAATGGTTTTCCTTTATTTAATATGCAAAAAGTTTGCATCTTTGGTGTGTTGCCTAAACTAATGTATGCATGAATAGGGCCTTGATGGTAAAAAGTATTATTTACAGAGCAATGTGGACAAGTGGCTAGGGCATTTTTGTGGGATTAAGAGGCCTGAGTTTTATTGCCACTGCTGATGCTAACTTGCTGAGTGATCTTACAGAAGTCATTTTAACGTCTGGGCCTTGGTTTCTCTATCTGTGAAATAGGGATAATAGTGGTTATCTATAGTTCACAAAACACCTTGAGAGCCTAAGAGGAAAAGTGTTAAATAAAAGTCATTATTATTATTAGAATGTGCATAACAATTATCATCCTTAAAGTGTTACACAAACACCAACTAGCTTATCCTCACCATGCCCTGCTGAGGTTGCTAAGTATTAACATCCTCATTTTACACTTGGAGAAACTTGAGGCAGAGGTAAATTAGATGCATGATCACAAAATGAGTCAGTGTCAAAGCTAGGATTAGAACTGGTGCACAGTGCCTTGCCTAGATCTCTAGGCAACATTCCCTTTTGTTATGGGTTAAGCTTTGTAATAAGAATGATCCTGAATCCCTAACTCAGCTTTGGCTAATTCTGCCTGCATATGGATTGAATAATGACATCAGCATTTGGCTCAATATTTCTTTGTTGAACCTTTTGCTAAGGCTACTTTATTTGCTGAGGATATTTCTTTGCTTTAAAGGTTCATGTGAGCAACAGTGACTGAGAAGGGTCTGGTATATCATGACAGATACTTATAACAAGGAAAGATTTGGAAAAGCATCTATAAGTGGGGAGAAAATGGTGCAAATGTAACACCGACAGGTAGAATTGAATCTGGGACCTTCGGAGCTTAGTGCATGAGCCTCTACTGAATGATCTAAAAGCCAGCTGGTTATTAACTAAGGCTGTAGAGCAGAATCCTTATTCTCTTTGTAATTAGTCTTGGTGCCACTGGATGGCACAGTGCACCACACCCAACAGGTGTGTGGGTTACATAAATCTGCCTTTTTGTTATAAGAAAGTTTGTCAATTTTTAAGACAGGAAAGGGAATAATGGAAAACATAACTACAGGGTAACAGGCCTTTCCTTCCGTTTGCTTTATATAACTAATTATCATACCTCAACCTGGGTTACACTGTAATAGATGCAGTTTTACTGTATTTAGAAATGGATTATGATTCTATAATTACTCTTTTTAAGCCATTTAAAATATATATGCAAGATATTTACACATCAGCACCAAAGGTCTTGCAATGTTTATCCAGACAAAATTCCCATCAAAGTAAATGGGAATTTTGTTTGTGTAGGGACTACAGAAATAGGCCCCAAATACATGTATGAAGCTTTTTCTTAAACTGTACATAGTTCTGTAGAATTAGATATCTACAGTCATACATAAACTGTGTAAATCTACCCCCCCTCCTATTGTAGCTAATTAGCCTATGAAATAACATGTATGCTATTTCCTGGAGTTTGTTTACCTGGCCTTATGTTTTGCAGAGTGTTGCTCCAAAGGTTGACTCTTGAAAAATGAATGCAGATTTTAAAATGTCCCAAGTAGAAACTTTAGCCCAATTCTCATCTTGGGCCATGATTCTCCATTAGGCACCATAAAGTCAGATGCCTGCATTCCCACCATGACTTCAGTGGGCTCTGTGCAGCTGAAAGGGTCTAGCTGCATAGAGCAGCTGTCAGGTTGGGTGGGGTGAAACCATGCAATGCTGT